TCGGAGATGCGCGTTACATCGACGTTGCGTCTCGACGTCGCTCGGCCAGCGAGTCGACGGACGGGCGATTCTCATTAATTATCGGGCGGATTTTGAGGCCCGTCGTGCCTCGTTAGGCCCACCGCCGCGCGATCAATCTCGAGCGGGTCCGTCGCGTAACAAAGAACCGGATCGCGAGCCGGGAAAGAGAATGGCTCGGGGAAGGAGGACGAGCCTTCCCCCGACTTAACCCTTTTAGAAGAGACAGGACATTGCTAGGCCACTTGGCCGTTCCACACGTGGCCGACACGTGGGCGATCGTTTCAGCGTTTCACAGAAGTGACTCGTTGCTCCTCTTAACGCCGCGGGATGTTGCAGTGTTCCGGACAATCGTCATCTTGCGACGATTTGTTGCTCGGATATCATCGCTGATGCTTCGCGCATACGCTTTTTGCGCACAGATAAGCTTGACGCGCGGTTCGCGCCGAAGTAGGCCATGCCGAAGTGGTCCAACCTGTATAATCATTGGCGAATTAACGTCGTGAAAAATCAAGGTCGCCGTTGACAGTCTTACGACCACTCGTCCCTCTTCCACTCGGCGTGCCTGTTAAAAACACCGTCGTAGCTCGTTTCAACCACCGCGACAATTTTTCTTCCAGAGTACAAACGTATACGAAGAAGAAACTTTAGTTTGTATAACTGAGTGGATCAGGCGAAAAACTCGACGACGAGAAATAATATCTCTGTTATTGTTACCGAGAACATTTGTCTGGACGTTAAAACTTGGTTGAGATAATTGGAAGTAACGGGCTGAGTAGAGGTTTTCTGCAGGAATCTTTTTGCTCCTACAACTGAGTTTTTTGCTTATAGAAAATTCCGTTACACTAACGAGGTTGTTTGTTCCGTGTACATTGTATCAGATTCTCTCGAGATGTTGCGACATATCGCGTATGTGTCAAGAGTCGTAATTTAGCAGAAGCATTTCGCAGGGGGAACGATTTTGCAAGTGCGCGCGCTGGCTCCAGCTTCGTTTACCGAGCACAATACGCTTTTATCGGCGCTATCGATCAGTCAAAGGATCGAGTCAGTCAAAGGGTCTGGTGCGAATCGGTTCACACGGGTGGCCCGATCGAGCGCTGGGGATTCACCTGGAGGATGCGTCTTCGCACCTCGTAGGACAGCCGCTGACGCGTCGCGGATTGAAAACGCTCGTCGAGCTTGCGAGTTAACGAGCTCGCGAACGGCGGCTATCGAGAGTCGGGATCGCGACAACTTTCGAGAGTCCGCGTCGCCGAGACGTACAGGTCTCTTACCTTGACGTAACTTCCGAAACAATGGAAAAAGGAAGAAGGAGCCGAAAAAATTCGCGTCTTCCTCTCGCTCGAGTCCGAGCCGAAATTGCAAAATGTACACGACGACGTGCTGTCCTCTGCTCTTCGCTTCCTCGATCGTTTTACGGGAAATACGCTCGATACGAACACGTCCCTGGCGAGATTGATGTATGATCAGTCTCCGGAGGAGGAAGAGCGGACAAGATGGCGAGATCGTCCCCGAGGATATAGCTCGTGGATCATTAACGGCGCTACCGGACGAACGGTGCTCGCTCGGACGGACAGAAGGCGCCGAGGGACCTCGGGGCGTTCACCTCTCGCTGAAGCGGCGAGGAACGGCTTCCGGTCCCCGCGGAGAAGGCTAACGAACCGCGGTATCCGGTGTCGCCCGGGTCTCGGGTGTCCGTTTACCACCGCCGAGGGTGGTCGCGCGCGTTGCGCGTCGCTCCGTCATCGCCATCCTCGTGCTCATCATCGACACGTGAAGCCCAACGCGAACGCCGATCTAAACTGTCACTTTCGAATCTAGAAGAGCGTAGCGTCCAGCTCGTTGAGTGACGGCGGATGGTCGTGGCGGATTGCGCTGGTCAGGGGTCGATTGTCTCCGGGAATCGAGAGAGACAGATATCAAGAGATAGAGATCGCCAGAGGAGGTGGAAGAAAGGGGCCAAACGGCCGAGAAAGAGTAAGAGAGGGAGGAGGAGGAGAGGATGAGGAGAAGCAGGAGGATCGTAGCGTCCTTGCCCGCAGCTCCGAACTGGTTATGTCAAACAGCCAGCCGACCGGGCCTGCGTTGCGCTTAACCCGCTTTCAGATTTCCTCTCTGCCGAGGAGGACTCGCCAGGACTTCGTCCCTCATTCGCTCTCTAAGTGCTAGTTTTTTCGTCGGTCACTTCCGGCTGTACAGTGACTTGCAAAATGGCTTAGACGCAATGAAGTTGGGAGCTCACCAAACTGTTGAAATTGAGAGTCATTACTGCGTATATATGTGTGTGTGTGTGCGCGTGTGTGATGAGCTTATTCAGTAATTATATTATTAATTACACGGAGGAAAACTACTCCGCCAGTATAGCTGAATTTTCTGTCACTTTTGGGGATCAGGTGACAAAAAACTCCGTGGGAACAAAAAGATCCTTATAGATTTTTATTCAGCCAATTGTTTTCATTCACGGTAATAAAGATATTATTTCTCATCGGTAAATATTTTATTTTTAGTCTCCTCATTCAGTTGCATGAATTGAAAATTTTTTCATATATTATATTGTTACTTATTATTATATACATTCATGTTTATTATATTTTATATTTTTATATATTATATTTATTATATATTATATTTATAGAAAGTAATATATATTGTTATTTATTATTTTTTAATTCAATTAATCGTATTTATTATTATTTAATGTTCTTAATTATATTATTATCACGCAAGTCCGGTAACGATGGTCACAATGGATAGTTTAGTGAGCTCCCAATTTCATTGTGTCTAAACCGTTTTACAACGTTGTATTTTCTCCTATGTCTACATTACATGTCTCAGAGCCGAGCTGATGATTATGCGATCATGATCATCGATCATTCCGCAAAAACGCCATTTTTAGGAAAGATAAAAAGACACGTCGGAAAAGGGAACGCGTTTCTCCTAAAGTACAAAATCCAACGAACGTATTGACTTTTACCATCGTCTTCGACCATCTTCTTTATCCATTTTACGGAAAAACAGTTAATTGTGGCTACCAAATCTCATGCACATGGATATCTAAATATACAGCTACCGGCAGCAACAGTAGCAAAAGTCAGCAGCAAACTTTGAGCTGCAGCAACGAGTATATTTTCAGCAAACCATGACTAGCCGCGGCAGTGAGATCCTTTCCCTCCGTGTTCCACTCGACCAAACGCGTGCAAGAGGGATTTGCGTCGGATTTTTCGGGACACGGATTGTCAGGCGCAAACAGAGCGTTACAGTGCCTTTAATTTTCCCGGCTGCACAGAAGGAACGGGGAGAACGGCGGAGGTAATGATCGCCGAAATCTAATGAATTCAGCATGGGGCTACCGGCTCGGGACTGCAGCCGATTAAAACGCGGAAACCGGCTCCGAATGCCGGATTTTATTAAGTCCCGCGGCACGCTAATGTGCTTAATTAGACGCTATAAACTTTGAACTCGCATTTGCATAAGCTACCGGTCCCGCTTAGTATCGCCGACATTAATCTGTTATTTATGCGCGACAAATAGAGGAGAGGTGGGTGTGGGTTGGGGCAAGGGGGGGGGCGGCATATCGAATCCGCGGTATTTCGCTGTGTTCCGCGTAATTAGCGATACTAATTAACGGCCGCGTCTCATCCTGCTCTCACCTCTACCCTGCTGCGTGCGCGCGCGCAATTACGCCGAGGTAAACACGGTTCCCCTATCTCGCCGGTGGCAACGAGTACGTCGCGACATTTTACATACGCCTGTATTAACATGTAATTCCGTTAATTCCGCGAGAGAGCGAGGGCGACGGTGCAAGGGCGGTCGGTCGGTCGATTGTTCCATTTAATTGATATAATCTGTCCCAAGCGCAGCGCCGAGATCGTGCGATATGGCGCGACGTCCGCGTCTGTGTTATTACCGGCGCGAAATCCGCGTTTTTCGAGCCGCTAGTAGTCGAGGGTAGATCACACCTGTCGTTACCTATTAGTCAAGGAGACCTCGTAATTGTTAACCGCCACGGCTATTAGGCATGATTTAAGGAAGCACGTCGCCTAGAGCCAAGTCCCTGCTCGCCGCCGTCGTCCCTTCCTCTCCCGCGGGATTATTTTAGCGAGGCTAATGAATTTTGATAGCCGGCCTGCGTGTAATCGCGGCTCCTGCGAGAGCGTGTCTGATCCAGTGGAGAGGTCTGCGTTTCACGAGACGCAGCAAGCTCTTTCTTTCTCTCTCTCTCTCTCTTTCTCTCTGGCCGGGCGCGAGGCGGTGCAATTACACGTTCGGTAAAAAACGCGACGTTTAAGTGGAGCGTTACGAATGTCAATGAGGCAGGCTGAATTTAATTCCCCAATTAATGGGTTATAATATCTCCCGGCGCGGAGAATGAAACGGTATTATACGTTTTACGATGTGATCGCGATGTATTGTAGATCCTTCCACATTAAAAGAGCGTCGTTTTTGACGATGAGAGGTCACGACACGTGACTTTTTGTCGATCCCTGTCGGCCTCCGTGAGCTTGAAGACGCAATCGTGCACGGTAGAAAAAGAATATTTTATATTCGAAATAATGCGCGTAGAAAGGTTTGTGTAGAAAGGAACTTTCGACATACCTGTGTGTTAATTTAACATATTATTGCATTATCTCGACTATTCTGCCTTGAGCTCATAAAATTCACCAAACGCAAGTGTTGAAATAACGTAATTTATGTGTAACATATACATTCTCTTGATAACATATTTTGCATGTGAAGTGTTATGTTATCTGTTAATGTAATGTTAATGTAATGTTAACGTATTTGCCTTGTGTCGAATTAGTATAAAAATGGATAAATTGGTACAATATGTTGAATTTAGCGCAAACATTTCTGCAACGTCTAATTAACGTAATCGAGGAAGCACGCTTCTCGAGTGTTATCCGAGACGTCCTGACGAACGCGTGAGAAACATGGAAGTAAGGCAACTTTTTACTAAGTCCGTCCTCTTTTCTGTCTCGCAGGAAGACGTTCCTTCACAAGCTAGATGATGTTCGCCAGGCTCTGCAGACAAGTTCCAAATGGTGAGTGATTCATTGATAAAATCGGTTTACTCGACTCGAACTCGTGAACGCAGCGAATGGGGCGCGACTGATCTGATTTAGGTGAACGAGTTTCAATCAAATTTTACCGAATCCTTTCGAATCCACGAAGTTGAAATTGTCGCGTCACGTCGTGTGTTCGCTCTTAATTTGCTCGCGCTCGACAAGTCATGCCGTAATTAATGCAACGATGCAATCGTCTCTGAGCATTCTTTATCTCGCGATTTGGTGCTCGAGGAAGGCAGCGAGAGGACCGCTCCCTCCGAGAGGAGCGATCTCCTGTGATCCTCCGCGAAGCACTCTTCCTCGCTAATGTCTTTTTTCTGCGGGGACATCCAATGCACTCGTCCCGCTTTGCCATCTTCCTTTATTCCGAAGAAGTGCACACGCACTGCGGACAGCAGCGTCCGCACAGCGTCGCTTTGTTCCCTCTTCATCTTCGAGCACATCTTCATGCCAGTGGCTCTCACAGGCAAATCTACCTTTACCTGAGTTACTTGCCGATTTTATTGAAATTCAGTACACTTGTAGAATAGTTAAAAGTAGTGGACACGTATTATTTTATCTCGGCAATGGCGCATGTTTAGGGATGAAAACTACTCCTTGTATTTACTTCTACTACTACTTCTGGACGTGCGCCATCATCGATATGAAAGAATACGTGTCTATTATTTTGAATTACTCTACACAAGTGCACAGAATTTCAGTAAAATTGGCGAGCAACACACAAAGGTAGGTTTACTTGTCAGTCTCTGAGTCTTCCTGGCTTCTCCAGGTCCTAACCGGTCCGACTCGATCACACTCCGGAACTCCCTCGACCGCAGCCGACTTTGCTGTTGTCTGTTTCGTTCATAATTCGTTAGAAATTTGATTAATGCAACCAAACTTGGTTTCAGTGCAGAAATGAAAAATAAATCAAATTCGAGTGAACTCCGGCTGTTACTCGATTTTTGGACTGTGATTTCATTCTATCAAAGATTCAGTGATTTAATTCATTCGTAAATATACCAACACTAATCGAAAAAATTCTGCGTGAACGATTTTCGTGAAACGTTGCTCGGTGAGAGCCCGGACGAGGCGATGTTTAAGGAGACGAGTGTCAGATTGTCTGAAAATCGTGTTTGTTTTTTCATAATTTTTTATGACTGAATGAATATGCGAAAGTGTTATTTTGTCATATATTTATACAACATATAAAGAGAAGAAAAATATAATTTTGATGATCAAATATTCAATATAAGTATATGGTACATGTAGTTAAAATATATTTCGTTTTTCTTTTCAAGGTCGTCATTTTGCAGTAATATCTCTCGGTGGTTCAATTAAGCTAAATTTTAGGTAGAAAATTTCCGTAAGCTTGTCGTTATCGGGTGAACCACTATAATAAAAATTGAGTAAAAGTTAGCAAAATTGTATATATCTTAATGGAATATTATTAAAATTTTCAGTTCTTTTATAGTAAAAAAATTAATATTTTAAAATTAAATATTTTCACGAGTTTGTCAGTGGTTCAACCGATAATGTTAACCGAAATGTCACCGAAATATATTTTAACTGCGTGTACCATACACTTATATTGAATATTTGTTCATCAAAATTATATTTTCTTTCTCTTTATATGTATAAATACACGTCAAAATAACACTTTCGCATATTCATTCAGTTCGTTATAAAAAATTGCGAAAAACAAGCACGATTTTTAGACAATTTAACTCTCCAGTTCCCTTAAATATAAGCCGCAGGACGAAAACAAGACGCATCCCTCGCGGTCCATGGCGTCTGAGGACCGAGGCAACGACTGGCAGTTCTCTACTAGCCGATCGTCGATCCATTAACGAAGCCATCTTACCGGAATGGATATTTCCCCGGCTGCTGGCTATTAATGTTCACGGTTCTGGCGATCGAGACTGGGATGTTTCGTAGGAATGCTGTGTCTGTCTTCTTCTCTTACTCTTTCGTCTTCTTCTTCTTCTCGTTTTCTTCCTTCTATCTTTTCCTCTTTATCGTAATAACTCCATTACAACCAGTCGGGCCAGCGATATTAATGTCTCATTTCCATCCCGACGCGACTACCGGCCCGACCTCTATTTCGAGGATCCGAGGACCATCCTATCGGCACTCCGTGTTATCGCGACACCTTCGAGACTCCTGACGCGCCCACACAGTCGTCTATATGCCTGAGCGATAGGAATGAAATCCCTAGTCGAAGGATATTTTAATATCGTTCTTGTGTGTCGCTTATCCCACAAGTAATTGTGTACGTTGAATGGCAGAATTTCGAAATGCCGGGGAAGTTATAAAAATGGAGTTGACAAAGTAGTTGCACGCGGAGAAAAAACGTTTGGATGGGTTAATCGAACGTCTGATGAGATACTTCTGACGAACCAGAAATTTTAGTTCACGTTACCAGAATTTAGTTCAAGTTAACAGGATTTCTGATTAATAAGAGTGACATTTGTGATAGTAATTCGTCTTAAAATCTTTTACATTATTACGTAAAAAAAGTACATGATATGATTTAAAAAATTCAATTTTGATTTCTTTGTGAAAAAAGATATTTTTTTACCTTTTGTTATTGCAAGTTATAACCTGCACGAAGTAGCTGAAAATTCACCTTGCAATCTTTTCTTTAAACCGTTGAAAGTATCTAAAAAATTGTGCGGATCGTTACGTTGAACATCCTGTATACTTGTAGGATAACCAACCATTTTATCTATTATTGCACGGGAAAAAAGGATTTGCTGTAGCTGCAAACTAATTTGCTATATATGGCCCGCCGATACAGCCGCCGATATACAGTTAAACATAATTCGCTGCGTTAGCTACTTTTTCTTTGCTGCAAGAATCTATTTTCTTGCTATGATAACAAGCAAATCTGCTCGTACAGCAAAAAAAGTACCTAATGCAGGCAAATTTGCTATAGATGGACATAATTTACTGTTTTAGCTACTTTTTTTGTTCTAGGAGCAGATTTTCTTGTTATCTTAGCAAGAAAAGTGGCTCTTGCAGCAAATTATGTTTAGTCGTCCATATCTTTTTTTCCGCACGGAGAAAAATAATTATACTCTTTTAGCAAAATCGTCGTTGCTACTGCATATTTGTAGTGATATCAAAAAAATTTAGTTGACGTAACTAATTTTACAAATTATTCGTTATCAGAGTAGAAATAGTTTCATTGCCAGGATAGAAAAAACTTGTTGAATGTATATGTCCTAAGAATTACGTTAATTTGCTATTGATGCAAAATAATGTATCTTTAGCAAATTTATCTGCTATCGGTGCAAAACTGCAACTGCTTATATAAATCCATCGTGGTTCTTGTAACAAAATAATTTGTAAATTCATTAAATTATATCCAGCAAAGTGATTAGTACTCTTAGCAAATCTTTTTGCTGTCCATATAATAACGAAAAGATTTTGCTAGACCAGCAGAAAATTTATTAGGCCAGCAAGTTGTTTTTCTTCGTGCGTGTGATCATCGAAAATTTATTTTTTTTCTTTTTGCAAATTCATCGTGAATATTGTACCTAACGGGTACAACCGAGTGAACGGTTATAACGCGCAAGCGCGCAAGAGTCGCGGGCGCGAATCTTCGATCGACGAAAACAATTTCTCGTGGAACGCGAGATTCTTATCGCACCTTCTTATTCCGAGCGAAACCGCCGGTTTTTCGGTGGTTCCGCGGCAGAAACGGGGAAGCGATCGCCGTCGATCGCCCTCGACGCGAGAAGAAATCCTCGGGATGCGAGTTCGCGTGCCGAGGTCTTGGTCCAGCGTAAAGGCGTGGGAACGGGAACGTCCTCCGTGCTTTAAAGCCGCGAATTAACTCCTTTTTGTTTCTCGCGCCGCGGCGCGGATTTTCGACGTCGAAATTGCCCAGCCACCAACTCGGGGGTCCTCGTAACGAGACCTTTTCGGTCACCTGTTATGTGCCCGCTCTTTCGCTTCGACTCGGCAGAAAGAAAGACTCGTGAGAACCGCGAAATATATCTCCCGTTGTTCGATTTTACGAGTGTGCTCCGTTATCGAAAAAAAAAGAGGAAGATAAAATCGCTGATTTATCAGCTCATCAGTGATTCGAATGAAGCGAAACATTTTTATGATGAAAGTTCTGCTTTTTTTGCGAAAATCGAAAGGTGACTCAAAGGTCGAGTGCATTTCGGAATCGGGATCGTCGCGTGCATCTCGAGGCGCGGTCGAGCGTAAAAGCGCGTCCCATCCGAGAAACGTGGCACACGGTAGCGATAAAAAAATGTTTATTAAGCCGGCTTAATTAACGAGCCTCCTCGAAAGCGGCGGAGTCGTTTGCCTCTTAATCGCGCCGTTAGATACACTCGTGGTACTCTAACGCTTTATTCCTGTGCGCCGGAATTAATGTCCCAATTAATGGCTTCATCGTGGCGACACACCGAGCCCCACCGGGGAAATTATGGTTCGGTGGCCGCCAAGATCTCCGGATCTGCGTGTGGCGCGCGGGTGAGATAAACGATCAAATTGAGATAGGAGGAGAATTATTATATCGACGCGCGCACGCCTGCACGTTTGTTTAAGATGAACATTTCGTAACAGAGAAACTCAAAACACAAGTGACTCCCGAGATGTATAATCATAAAAACAAGAGAAAAACTATGAGAAAAAAACATTTGGTATTTGTAACAATATAATAATTATACAGAGAAGTATCTCAGGTGCGCAAATAAATTCGGCGCTCCTTTTTTTTTTAAGAAATTGAGCCATCATTTGCAAAAGATAACAAACATGTTAATGCTTGAAAATTATTCGCCATTATCTTCTGTTACTTCTCTCCATCTATCGGGCAGCTGACGAATCTCCTTTCGAAAAAAAGATGGTAGCTTTGAACCGATAAAATCATCGGTTTTTTAGCCCTTTCCACGTTTTCAAAGTGTGTATAATTCAGATGATGTTGGGAGCGATCCGAGTGGATGGTAATCCGAAGGGGCTGTGTCCGATGAATAAGCTGT